TTTAAAATTTAATTAGTATTAAAAATGCTATTAATTGCTGGGAATACTAAATGTGCTTTTGTATATCACAGCAAAGTGCACTGTCTACAGATGGTAGGCCACACTGTGGTCATGGTACAGCAAATATGGTAATGTCTGCCCATGTGGTTTCATGAATATCTTTAACATATGGCTTGTGAGCGAGAAGGTAAACAAAAGTGATTTAATGGTTTAAAATACCCAACTTTTGTTTGGTTATTTAAGTTTTAAAGAAATTAAAGGCAAAAACATTTTAACCCTACGATTATGTTGCGGGCTCATGGGACCCATTTGGGATTTTGAGTTGTCTCAAATACTGGCTGACTTCTCTTTTTCTCCCTGAAATTCTTTGGCTCTTCCTGATTTAGGGACCTAAGATGTTAAATGTAGACTCAGCACATCAGTTGTGGAACTATTTGTACCCAATTTGTATCTCTTAAAGCCTCACTGGTGGGTTTTCTTTAAAAGAATTGCCTAAATTACACCATTTGTCAAAGCCAGAAACTGTAAAAGCAAAAAGGATGGTCCAATTATCAAATTTCCAACAGTCATTGTACATGGCATGTGGGATGAAAACTCAAGAAAAAAAACAACGTCTAAGCTTAAAATTGTGAAATACCATAGTTTTACTGCACTTATGATTGTATTTTAACAGTGGAGGTCAATTTCACCCACATTCTGCATGTTCATTAGTTTCAATTTAAAAAAAAAAATTTTTTAAAACCATGACAAAACAAAGCAAAACTATCTAATTATAGTCTTTCAGGGGCTCAGGCTATCTGAGGGGCAGGGGCAAAAAAATTAAAAGGGTACCAACTGCATGTGGTCGGGCATCGCACAGAAAGATGTGATGCATTTATGGTGAAACAGTTCCTAACTCTTTTCCAGCATGTGAGGCACTGCATTGCGTTTTCTCTACTGGAAGGGCACCCTAGAGTGCACTGTATTGTGTTTGGCCACTGGAAGGGAACCCTAGAGTGCACTGTATCGTGTTTGGCCACTGGAAGGGAACCCTAGATGGCATCACTTTTTCTTCACTTAAGGGCACCATAGAGGGCACATAATCACATTTTCTCCACTGGAAGGGCACCCTAGATGGCACTGCATCAAGTTTTCTCAAACATAAATCCACCAGTGCTGGCTACAAGAAGCAAGTGAAAAGTACATTTATGGAGTTTGGATGTACTGGCCTTGAAGTCTTACAATACACTCTAATAGCAGGATTCAGTGAGATTTTCATCATCCTGAGATGAACCAAATATATGATTTCCCCTACAAATGTTTCCCATGAATCTACCTTCATCAGTTTAATCAAGAATATTCTTTTTATCCACTTCAGGAACTTTTCCTGTTGAATCTGCTCAGCAGCTGTAGAGTGGGCAATTAATGTGAGAAGCTGAGGCAGTTTGACACAGCCATGTGTTGCACGTCGTGTGGGTGAATAGGTTTGAAATGTGACCTCTTACTATTCTCTCTCTGCACCTAATTCATCCTGTCATCCCCTGCCATGCTACGCCACCTCCATCTCCTCCCTTTTCCCCCCTATTTTTCATTCTTTCATCTCTCCATCCCATTCTTTGGAGCTTTCCTTTCACCTTCTCTGTCTTCAACTTCCTGTTCATCAACCTCTGCATGTCCTCCTTCCCTCCCCTTCTAAATTTCTATTTGTCTTGCTTTCCACAGCCACTTACTCTCACTTTTGTTTGACTTTGTTAAAACAGTATGACAACGGTTTCATTTGTCAAACCCCAATAGTCTATTTCTGTCCTCCTTCTGCTTCTCCTACCTTTTTGTCCTCTCATGATACTGATTTTAAATCACTCACCATCTGCCTCACAAAACAGTTGCTGTTGGAATCCCTTTTTTAAGAAGAAAATGTGTTAGATGGTTTCGTATGCCAATCTTGCTACTGTGTCTGGCAGGATAAAATAGTGAGATAACTTGTGTGTAAGTGCAGAATTAGTTGGGAAAATCGGCAGGTTTAATGCTTGACCTCTTTGGTAAACCATTTAGTGATACTGATGGTGAACCAAGTCCACAAAATGCAACTTTGAAGAAACCCATGGAGACGGCACGGTGCAGATGTGAAACCCAGCAGGTGCACACAAAATGAAAAGAAACAAGAAGAAATCTGTAAATAAAGTTGCACATGATGAAACTAATTTATTTGGCTATGCAGGGTTACAGCATGTATTATATGACCTCACCTCAGGCACTAACACTGCCATCAGTGCTTTTCATGAAACCAGCAAACACATGGGTTTAGCAGCTAATTTGCAGTAGAGAGGGGAGAAGGGGGGAAATTACTCTCAGATATGCAGAAGCCTTATATTATGTTGTCATAGACACATAATGATAAAATTCTTGTTTTTAACAAGTTCAAGAATTATTATTATCTTCCTTCACAAACAAAATAAAAAGTTTTTTCTGTGGAAAATTATGGCAATTCATATCTAAAATTTCTACAAGGACAGAGGAGGAGGAGAGTGGCTTTTGAAGATATGAGCTGCATACAAATTGCCCTTTTTCTGCTCTAATTTCAACGCTCAATGGTTTAAATTGAGACTTGAAGTTCTGAAAAACAAAATGACACGTTATTCATCTTAAAAAAAAGTTAGAAAGCATTAGAACACACCCTTCCTTAATTCTGCACACACAGGGGTTTTGTTATGTAAAATTATAATATTATCTACCAACCTTATATCACTTTATAGTCATTGACAGTATATATAATGGACAGAGCTTCTGGGTCTGTGAAGTGAAGCCAACATGGAAATGTCTTAAACCTGCATTCTATGTAAAGGCCAGCAGGGGGAGCTCCATTGGCTGCAATAAAAAAAGTCTGATAGTATTGAGTCTTATGGAGAAATGAGTCGACTTCTCACCTGATTTATGAGCTCAGTAAACAGTTTCCTGATGAGTTTCTGGTCTCAGTCTCTAGTTTCAGTCTTCTTCCATACAGCATGATGTTCATTTAGTAAATGATGGTCCTATTTAGAGTAAAATAGACCATAAGGGTGTGGCTACCTTGTGATTGACAGGTCATTGTCAGTGAGTCCGTCTTGACTGCAGTTTTACACCACATTCTGCAACCCATCAGATTCTGTGACCTGAGAGTTTTACCCACACTATATTACCACTGCAAATTATTTTATCAAAGCCCTATACTGTATTTTGATTGCAGCTGCCAAAAAATGTGACTCCACAATATTTTAGTAAGGCCACAAATGTTGATGGTGTGATAGCATGACTAGTGGGCTGTAGCTGTATTTGATCTACTCTTTAGTCTTTTCTTTACATCATTGGAAGGACTGTAAAAAGGGGATTGGATAAATTCAAAACACACTATTTTGGTTCTATTAAAAATCACTGTATTTTTGAAAATATTTGCAGATATGACTGTATACAGCATAAAATAAAAAATAAGTTTGTGGGTAGTGAGATATTTGTGAATTAGAAATATGTCCAGTCACGTCCAATAAAATCCTCCATAGACAGTTAAATAATTTAAAAGTAGTGTTAATTGTTATGTTATGTACCCACTAAATTAAGGGACTGATTTATGAATGTATAAATAATACCATATAGTGTATTCCCCAAAACGCTGAACTGTTCCTCAAGGTGTCTTTTGAGGAAAGCCAAATTTTAAAACAGCAAAGGGACCACGGAAAAAAAACAACCTTACACAATCAGAAAAAATCTCCAAATGAAGAAAAAACAACCTGACAATGTGACTATACAACTTATAGACTACATAACCTCCCCTGAATACGGTTCCAGATTGCCAAAAGACCTCCAAATAACCTGTTAGCTAAGCACGGGCATGTCGGCTCTGCCTGTGTGCTCAAGGATATTTGAGAAAGCGGGAGGGTGTTGTTTTGGAAATGAGCTCCTCTGAAGTAGTCTAATCATCTTGCTGTCAGCAAAGCAGACAGGTATCACGCCAGCGACAGCCACAGGAAATAGATCTGTTTGCCTTTGTTTTTGTTTCATGGGAGCGATTACTCTCCAAACTGCACAGAGGCAGAGGGGAAATAAAGGAAATGTTCGCTTCGCTTAAGACGTGTCATTGTGAGGGAAGAACACTAAGATAAATCCTTTAAGACCACAGTGTCTATTTTATCAACTGGAGGGTTTATTCAAGGAGAACAGCCTGCGGGCCTTATCAATTTTCATGTTGTGGGTCTATGAAGACTGCCGGTTTGCTTTTAAAGGTGATACTTATCACTCTTGTCATCAGTGTGTCGAGCAGGAGATTGGGATCTTTATTGATCCAAGGCAGCCAAGTCACTTTGGCCTGTCATTTGCTGAGAACTCACATCTTCTGTCAAGTTAGTGTCTACTTCCCTCCCAGGAAGTGCTTTGAGTCATAAGGGCTTTTTAAAATGTAGGTTCTTTCCTCAAGCAGTCGATTAGTGCGTGTTCGGGATATACAGGAGATAAGAATATCTGAGGATTTCAGTGTAAATGAAAAAAAATCTACCCTTAAATACTCTTGACAGCTTGAATCATCAGTCTGGAAGTGATGAAATGTTTGGAGAATACACTTTTTAACACACCTTGTCTCCTTCATCTCCCAGGACACCTTTTCTAGTCATTGCGCTTAAAAGACACACTGAAAAAAATTTGGAGTGACATTTACTTAAAAAAAGGTAGGCAAGTTTTTCCACACAGAAAGTGCTTGTAATCTTTACTCAGGCTATTTCTAAGTAATATTTACTTACGAGAACCACTTATTTTTTATGAAAAATACACAAGTAAATTGTACTGGCAATACTCACCTATAGACCATTGCATCTAATTACAAAACCCAAGTAAACATTGCTGATGTTTCTTTGTGTTTCTTACTCATCTTTTCTTTGTTATATTCTATGTAATTATTAAGTAATATTTATATTGAATGTATTAGTTAATATTAATTGAATTAAGTAAATATTTTTACTATTCTATTCAATAATAATTCAATATTTTCCAAAAACAAATATTGAAAGACACTTTTAATTCACATTTGAAATGATAGATATTTAAAATATCTACATAACATAACTACAAACACATAGCCATAGAACTTCTTGCTAGCAAATTTCAAAACAATGCATATATACATATACATAGAGTACATACATCAAGGGAGTTCAGAGACTCAAAAGTAAAGCAGTGTAGAATTTGAAAAATTAAATGCGGAATGACAAAGCACCAACTGACTTTAGGACTGATATTCCAGCATACAAACGAATACAGTGTTACAGTTGACTTTTCCCTTCCAATTCTGTAATTCCATCAATTGGGATCTATTACAAACTTCAAAAGATTGAAGCTTTCACTTCCTCATGGATTTTACAGGCAGAAGTTCATTGAGGGGAAAAAAAATTCTCAAAGTTTCAACCAATCAGATAGCTGGCCTTAGCAGGGGAAAAAAACATGCTATTCAAAAACTCAGCTTTCTTCTAATCAACTTTCAGAACAGTAAAGAATACATCAACTCTGTCCATTAACAGTTGCAATCACTACCTTTGCAGACATTCTCAGGATGTTCAGGACAGAAAGAACTTATATAAAACTGAGCAACACTTGAAATCACTGTCAGAAAACTGACACAAAATGCAAACAAATTGTTTGTGCTAGACAAAAGCACAAATAACACTGGCGCTTCAAGTTTCTTGTGGAGAGACTGGACATTTGCTGACATTCTCAGGGTGATCAGGACAAAAAGAGCTTATATAAAACTGACCAACACTTGAAATCACTGTCAGAATCACTGACGAAATGTAAAGAGATTGTTTGTGCTGGACAAAAGCACAAATAACACTTAAACACTCATGCTAAAAGTTTCTTGTGGAGAGACTGGACCTTTGCTGACATTTTAAGGATGTCAAGCTCAAGAAACAGCTTCTGAAATACTTCAAACGTATATTTCAGTTTCAGTGGGTAACTTAAGTTGACAGCATAGATGACACCCATGAGTAGGAGGCAAGCATTTGTCACACTTCCGCAGTCCTCCAGAACTTCTGTCCCCTCAATGATGACTGACACGTACACGGGATCTTGGTTTTCCTGTGCCACGTTGGGATGGATGACGGTGATCTTCATCATGTGATTACTGCAGTCCTCTTTCACTGCTTCTTGGCTGACGTCCTGTGAAAACAAATAAGCCACAATTAGAAATAACTAAGAATAGATTCCAAGTAAAAGAAAAGGTTAAGAGAATTATTTTTTTAAATAAAAAACAAAGAGGTTTACTCAATTTAGTGTACTCAAATCAAACAATATTCATATGGCACTTTTCATACGTAAAGTTACACAACGTGCTTCACAGAGGCTGACCCTGAGACAAAGAAAGTCACTTTTGGGGCCATCCAGACTGAGAGGGGTCAACGCCCACGACCACAGGGAGTGCCGCCACAGTGACCAACCTGGCCCGGGCAGACAGGAGGCTCCGCACAGAGGTGCAGAGTCCTCCAGCCACCCAGGCTGGAGCTGTCCAAGGGACGGCACCTGTGTTGGTAGACCAGAACTACTCCCAGTGTGGAAGGTCCCCATGGGGGAAACAGTGTAGCTGAAAACTAAATTAAATTAAATACTCTTTTGCTCATAAAATAAGTTAATAAGTGATCGTTAAATAGTCCGAAAAACAGAGACAAAAGGCAAGTTAAAGTTTAAGATAGATAAGATAAAGATTATCTATCTATAAAGATTAAATATAAGTGTAGAGAATCTTTGACCTTCAATATAATATCACAAGTGAAGACCAGATTATAAGGCTAGACAATCATTTTAATATGGTCATGATGATCATCAGATACCTGATAGTCTTTGATCAGCTCCTCTCCACTCTCTCCAAGATACTCAACTAAGCAACGGATGATAATGTCCCTTCTGCCATCGACATGATGCTATTAAACACAAAAAAAAAATGTATTGCAGAGAATACATAACATAACATAACATATGTAACATACATACATAACAGCACATACAGATTTAAACAGAAAGTTACCCAATGGGGAATGTAAGCCTGCAACTGCATTCTAACGGTGTGAAGTGTGCAACTTAACAAGAATTTCTTAACGATGTGTGTTGAGACAAGTTGACAAGAGTCAATGTCTAGTGCATGTCATAATCTGTGGGTCCAGAAACTCTGTCTCTGCCCAATGAGGGAAGTTTTCTGCCTCATCAATGGACCTACAAATGAATTTTTCGCAACATAACAGTACCTTCCTATCACAAAGTGAACCAGGCAAGGACAGGAATTCCCACACGCAAGGGTAATATTTTGGGAAATGATTGTATTGGAGTCTATGGGCAGTAGGAAGGGATCTCGCTGCACTCAGAGGGTCACTTTGAAAATTCTGTAAATCTCTCTGCTTTTGAGCACATATTAAGGGAGAGATGACACGTTTGTATACACTTGTGGAGAAAATCATGTGCATAAATTGTTAATTGTGGCCACAGTGACAGGATAAGGGAACAGTTTCAGACCAACACAGACACTGATCAGATTAAATAAAAGAGTGATACATTCTCAGTGTGTATGACCTCATCATTAGATTATGTAATTAAAATAATTTGAAATTTTACCTCATTCAGTGAGTCCAACATTGGTTTTATTTTGGTCCCTGCAGTCCCGCCCTTCCTCCGAAATATCTCCAGGAGTTTGGTGGTGTACCTGTCTAATCTGGACAAAAAGGTTCGCTCCAGATGCATCGTGGTTATTCGTTTAAACTCCTCTTTGATCTGAAATGAGAGATAAAAACACAAAATCATGTTAAAAGATGACTCATGAGATCTCACATACACTTAGTTGCTGCATGAACAAGAACTGGATTTACCTGATTTTCACAGAACAGAGAAGGCCATCTCTCCAAGAGGTCTTGGATTGCGGGGCAATCCTGGACAACCTCTGTTCTTCTCATAGCGAAAGACTTCTCCATTTTCTCATTAACTGCCCTCTCATTGTTCTTCTTCTTTATTTCCTTCAGCAAATCTAGTCTCTCTTTCTCTAAGGTTTCCTCAGTCTCACCAAATGGCAGTGGTGGCAGATAGTTGACTTCAGCTTTTTTTGGCCTTTTAAAGCCTTTAAGTGAACCCTCTTCACTGGAGCATCGTCTCTTCAGTGTGTTCACCTCGAGCTCTGGAATGGGTAATTGGCGACCTCTTAACTTTGCCCTGTAGTTGCCCATTTTATACTTTATCCTCTGTTGCCAACCATATAGGCCATTAAAAGACCCTGGCTCTTTGAGGCATGGGTATTTTTCTACCAAGGCTTCAGCAACAGCTAAAATCTGGACACCAGTTGGATATGCTGTGAAGCCAAATATAGTCTCTGCGAGCTTCTCAAGAATGCTACTAGTTACTCTTGGGTTGTTCAAAAGTGTGCCATCATTTTCATAAGCTTGCTTTCCTGCTTCCAGTGCAAGGTCTACATCATAAGAAAAGACAGGTATTTCAAACTTAAATGGCCATGGCTTAGACCTGTAGGATGGTCCACTCTCATCTGGGGAGGAAAGCAGGATTGTGTCACATCCAGATGAGGAGGAGCTTGCTTCCGTAGATAGTGGAACTGGAGATTCGACCTCTGACATGTCCACAGGAGTGAGACTCAAGATCACTGGTTCAGTTTTTACTACTTTGAGGTTAGCTTTATCTTGTACTTCCTCAATCGAGGTCAAAGTGAAGAACTGACCGTCGAAATCCATGTCCTGGTACATAACAGTGAATGGTCCTGTAATATCAAATGTCTCTCGAAGAACATCAGTGAGGTCCTGAAGTGTGCTTGGGATGCCTGCAGGTAAAAGTAGTTTACGGACATCATCCTCCCCAAAAATTATCCGCAGTTTCGCTGAGGGTGCCATATCAACAGGAAGAAGCTGCAACAACAGAGAAGAGAAATACACAGACATTTATTCACAAGCTTCTCTCCTCATACTTAAAAGGATAGACAAATGTGGTGCTTCAAAGTTGTCAGGCGTCTTCCTGCAAGGGTGTATGGAGCCAAAGGATAAAAATCTTTAAGCTCTCTTTGCTCAAGTAACTGCACACTCCCTGTGTTCTCCAGCTCATAACTCCTCAGGTGTTCATTGTACCATGTATTTTGTTGTCTCACAAAAAAAGTCAGTTTGTTACAAATCACCATTATCTGCAACACTTCAGAAAAGTCAGGCAGTCCAGCAGTGGAACCACAACACAACAACATTCCCACTGCATAGTTGGTGCCCAAATTGCACACATTATTGGCAACATGCACAGCCGTAACAGCAGGGAATCTGCATTTCACCAGGTCTTTTAGATCATCCTTAAGCACATCTAAAGAGACCTCTGTTGTTTTTGTGACTGCAAGTGATGGTTTGACAGCATGTGATTGATGGTATGCAACCATGAGCTGGTGCTTATTTGCAAGGGACAGCAAGATATTCCTGAAACAACCAGTGTGTCTGACCACCTTCTTGAAAAAGCTGTGTTTGGCCTCGAATCTCATTGTCCAGAGGGCAGCTAGGGGGCCAAATTCCCGAATGAGCTGAGGATAATGCTCAAGGAAATGGTGCTTGGGAATGAGCTTATGTTGGGGGAAAACATCTAGGAATCTGCTTCGGTGTTCTGAAATGATGCTGTCAAGATAGCAAATGCTTTCTTCTGTATGGACTGGAGACATGACAATGTCAACAATGTCTTTCAGTGTCATCAGCATCTGCCATACAGGCTCTTGTTCGGGTACTTTTAAACCTATAATCAGAGGCAAAAGACGTAATAAGCACCAATTTTCATGTGCGTTGCCCCCTACTGATTTTCGAGTCGAAAAGTTAGCAGGAATGAGATGAGGGCGATTTGTTTTATCACTCCACTTGTATGGGAAATTGCAAATGGCATCATTCAGTTCCATGAGAGAAAAATATTTTTTCTTGATCAAGTTATCAAATGCCAAAGCCAGTTCCACTGGAACAATGCCCTCCAGCAGATCATGTAAAACATCTGGAGGGTAACCAGATGTCACATGAAAATGTTCAAGTTTTTCTGACAATGCACACTGTTTTTTTACACCATAACAAGGAGTGTGATCTGGACTTGACACAGCTGTCTGTACATGCAGTGTATGCTGATCTTTGGTTCTTTGATGAAAAGACCCAGATCTCACTTCATCGGACTGAAACTTGGATCGCTCCCCAACACAAAACCGGCAGACGTATGACCCTGCAAAGCTTTCAACAAATCCTGCCACAGAGTGCGCCCCCAAATTATCTGCCACCACACTGACCACAGTCCCTTTAATGGCTTTCCCTAACGCTGGAACAAAAAGACCATCTTTCTCCAAGCTTTGGATATCTGTTAACAGTGGCTCTAAAACTCGCTGGAATCCAAACTGCTTGGTGTCTTCAGCCTTACACAGAATTGCAAGGTAGATTGATGTCAATGTGGAACGTAACTGCACAGGAATGTTTCCCAACACCCAATAGACAGCTGTGACTTTGTGCTTTTTTCGAGATGTCCCAAGAGGATTACATACCTCAAAGTCATCAATGTACAGGATGAGACTCACCCTGTTCTCCTCTACAGAGAAAAACTCATTTTTTTGATAGTGAGATCCATCACGAAATGTCTGGTACTTAAAGTCATTTTCAGATTTGTTTTCACCTTCAAATGTGTTTTCTTGAAAAGACTTACTTAGGACCTGCACCAAGGAGGGCAATATTGGGACATACTGGAAGGTTTTGCACTCTTTTTTATCAAGTATGTGTTCTTCTGGTTCAACAACAGAAAAATGCTTCTTCATGAATTCTCTTCTCTTGTATGAAGTTGTGAAAGGGCCACCTGTCCCCAAGGCAGTACTTATAGGGTGTGTCTCACAAATATTTTTCACTAAATCTGAGATAATGGCTGGATCCAGATCACAATTATGGCTTTTCAAGGTGGACACCACCACATCTCTTAAAAGTGGACCAGATGCAGAGGTGGATATAAACTGAAGCTCATCTACTATTTCATCAATGCATTTGTTTGGGACATTGAACATGCTTTCCAACTTTAAAAAGAGATGGCCAAATTTCTCCTTTATATCCTGAGACAACTCCTGTGGTTCCCCATCCCAAAGCTCTAAGCTCTCTTCCACACAGGTCTCATCCTGAGCAAACATGGGTTCATAAGGTTGGCTTTTTAATACTTCCGTTTTAAAATCCTCAAGGGTGTGTGACTGGTGTTTTCTGTGTCTATGTGTAGCAAAGGTGGAATAAATATTTGTACTGAAGTTGCAGTTTTTGAAGACACATGCAACTGCTTCAAACTTCCTTAAGTGGCTGCCTAGATGCTCAAAATACTGCTTCTCTGAATCAAAAAAACCAGAGCAGCAAAGTAGACAAGTAAATGAAAGAGGTCCACTTTGGGTGACCATCTCCACATGGTGTCGAGACAAATGGGTCTGAAGGGCATTAAATGTTTTAAAAGAGCAAGGGCAATCAGTGTAAAGACAAGGGACTGACTGGCTGCGACCACCATTTCCATGCTTTAGTCTGTAATGTTTTAACAATCCCAACCTCTTCTCTGACTCAAAGCTACATATCTTACACATCCATCTCATGTTGTGGCACCTGAAACATACAAATTAAACATCTCAAAATTAAACCAAACTGCCACACAGTTAAACAAACAAGTACACACGTTAAACCTAATCATTACTAATTTGATCTTACCTTGTGTCAGCCGTGGAGTCCAAATTAACAGTCAGAAGGTCCTATGTTCTGTTAAAAAAAAAAAAGGTTATCTATATGCTTTTCACCTAATTTCTACTAACTCAAGGATGCACATTGATATTTCATTTTTTAAAATCTACAGACTGTTGTGACTTCCTGTTCAAGTCTAAAAGGAAAACAGAAATATAATGACAAGAAGCAGTGACTCACTTTACATAGTGCTATGGTGACAATTTCATCAAACAACAGAAAGTTATACTTTCTATATAATAAGTACAGTATTATACAGTAAGTAACTAATAACATAACCTGCTGGTTAGACCGGGGTAACTGCTGGTGTACATGACGTGACATTATTGTAACACTACAGTTTACAAAGGGAAAGTTATTGAAAGTAGTTCATAATAAATTTAACAAGAATAACCAAAAACAGTTCTCCAAATTGATAGTATAGACAGCAGAAATCAATAGATATGCAAAATTATGTTTCTGACTCTACATGCATAAAATGTACCTTTTGAATAAATTAGATTTTGCTTTAATGTTGCAATTTGCAGACGGTCCCTGAACACCTGACTCACAGTCGGCTAAGCACAGACCAATGCATTCCTCCAGCACAGTTATGGCTCCCAGAGTCGGGCGTACTGTACCCATACTGTGAGCGACGCTGACTGTCACTGTCCGCGGACGTTTGAGGTTTCATAGTCCAGCGTACCGTGCCAGCTTGGTATCGCATTAAAACAGGTCGATGTGAAGACTTGAGTGAAACCGAGTGCGTGTACACGGAGACCGCGGTTGTCCGCATCGAGTACGCACTTTTTTTTTTTCAAAAGCAGCGGTGCGAAAACTTTTATGACAGCAATTATTTCAAACTAAACCGTAGTCGTTTTATTGTGTTCACAAATACACATATACAATCATAAATTAACTCAAGTCTATTGTATCAGTATCAACAATTTCAAAGGACTTCAACTTCAGTGACTTGTAACGGGAGGCGTGGAGCTAGAAGAGGAGAGGAGACGACAGTGCCGGAAGCACAACTTTTCCTTTTTTCTGTAAAACGCGTATCATATAACAATGAAGTTTACTCGTTCCAGCCAGCAGCATCTTTACCACATCCAGTTTTGATAAAACCACGACCTCATGTTTTGGGGCCTTTCCAGACGAAAAGGACATACCTCGTGCCAACAAAGTTACGTTGGTTAGCTAGCTAGTCAGCAGGAAAATACACTATTTGCTAGCGCTGCAGCCGCCGCTGCTTTCAGTGCAGAGAAACTGACACAAAGTTTGTTTTGCTTAAAACTTACCTTCATGGTTCCATATTCTCGTTCTTCCCCGTCTCAGTCAACAAAGTCCGCCAACCCGGTTGAAATGTTGACCATGGACGTAATAGTAACGTATCTGACGAAAGACCGCTCAAATGTGGGGCGGGGCTTTGACGTCATGCTCCGAATGCAGAGAAGGTTGCCAGATTCACTGATGTCACTCAATTACATTTTACTTGAAAAGATCAACTAATTAAGCCAATGAACTGGTTTAGTGAATATTACTTGGATCAAAGGATTCAATTAACATACAAAACTGAGGAAACATAATTACAAACAATCACCAAGTAATGCACTACATGAAAAACTGCTATCTTAAAGTAAAAGCACTGAATTCGTATTTCTTTGTAGACTTTATATAGATAATTTAAATAATAATTACAGGGCCAAAAAATATTTTTTTCAGTGCAGAATATAGGATGCATAGGTAGTAGGGATAAGCGTGTACACCCTTATCTGTATCTATTTAAAAAAAAAAACAGTATCCAGCATCAAAGTCCTGCACTCATCATCCTCCCCAACCACTTCCACATGACTGCCACTTACAAAAAAACAAACAAAACAAAAACAGTAGTTATATGTCATTAATGTTACCATCTGCCAGGAATGTGCACATTTACGATATATTGTTTTGCACCAAGAGTTGAACCAAACAACCCTGCACTTTTTTTAGTAGATATAATATGCCTATGCCTTTTGGATATATGTAATTTTTCCAGACTACATGTCTACATGTACACTACAGTAGTACATGACACAGATAATCTGTAAAACAATCAGGTTCCTCTGCCAGAGGAGCTCCTAGTGCTCCTCTGGCATATGGAAGAATCCACCAGGCCTGAACAAAAACAACCAATCAGGGGCTGAGAAAGATAGAAAGATGCTTTTGGTTTAAATTTATCACATACATGTACAAATTGATATGAATATACACAAATAAATCATCCCAATATAAACTTAGAATCTTTGTCTTTGTGCTTTCTTCAGACAAATTTACTAGAAAGAAAAGAAGGCACTTCATTTACATCAATATTCCCTCAGTGTCAGAATTCAAACTCTGACCTTAAAGCCTTTCCAGTCTCTCAGAGCCTTTTTCCTCTCTTCTTCCATTAAAGGTGGCTCAGATCAGTCCTCTAGCATGATAACTCCTAAATAGCTTGGCACCGTAAGAGCTGACAGTTTTGTGAGAATGACAAAATGACACAGAGCACCTTGGAGCCAGTTTGTAAATGTCTGTTCAGATAATCCCTTTAAACGCCCCCCCCAAAGCACACCACAAAGTCTGTCTCTGTTCCTTCTCCCATTTACCTATCATGGTTGTTAAGCTTAATGTGAGCACTTGAGGAAAATAGCAGGGAGGACGAGTGTCAATAAGTCTGCTGGAGAAAATACCTGTTGAGGGTGAATGGGTGATGTAGTGAATGCATGGTTTGTGCAGGTCAGCAGTATATCCAGGAGTTCTTTTTTTTTTTTTTTTGGTCCAGTTATTTTACATTAGGGATAATAAAAATACTGTACATTGGTACACCAAAGTTTAGGTGTCCAAGTATTCAGTGGGGTTGAGTGATTGGACAAATATATCCGCTATTGGCGATTGTGATGAGCCTATCGACGTTTGTTTTTTATTTTTCAGCGACAGAAGATTGTTCGGATCTAGTCCCGATTTTATGTGGATTTGATTTGTAAAAAAGTGTTTTGTATTTATTTATATTAATATATTTAAGTATACTTTTTTAAAAAAGCTGTTCTTTAATGAATTCCACTCTCATTTTGTGCTCCTTTTTAAAAAAAAGTATAGGTTCAGTATCGTTTTAGCATGGGTATCGGGGAAAAAAACCCACAATACCCAACCAATCACCAGTCTGTGATTGTTGGAACAGTGGCAAGACCAACCAAGAGAGTTTGGTTGAGTTTTATTTTGTTTCTGTCCAGTTTGACGTAGATTTTATGGTGAGCTAACCAGGCATTTAAGCAAGTCTTAGTTTGGTAAAAGCTAGAATTCAGATGTTGGTCAGTCAAACCAAGCAGACGATTGCAATGTTAGATGTTAGATCTTGATAAACATGCATATTGGTACATGTGAGTGCATGTATGGATGTGTAAAGCGTATGCACTGTATATGTATAGACATTCACAGAGGAAGAGCTTTTCCTCCAATCAGTAGTGACACCACCCAACATGCCCGCCAGAGGCTCACACACTCTGGGTGAATCCTGGGAGATCCCTCTATTCTCCGTGGTGGAAATTTGACTCCCAGCATTAGCATGTTAATCAAAACAGGAGCCGATTCAGCAAAGAAGTCGCTGCTCTCACAGCCGGAGATGACACCCTGCTCCAGGGATGATGACACTCAGCACAGAAAATGAAATAAAATAAAATATCTCCCCTCCAAAGACTGCGTCAGTTATATTGCTCTAGTGTACTTAAAGTGCACGAGATTGCTTGAGCACAGTAATGGTATGTGTAAGCTATCAACGGTAGTACTTATATATAGTATAAATGCTTGATATAATTAAAGGACTGGCTGATGGAGTTGCAGCCAGGGATTGAACTGACTAAACACGGCTATGAATCACATTTTCATTGTTATATGGACACATTATTATATATTTGTTTAACTTACGAAAAGGCTGTTGAGGTTTTGCTACTTTTTCTTATTGGCTTCTTAATACACTGCATGGCCAAAAGTATATGACCACCTAAGCATTACACCCATGAGTGACAATTGAACACTTGATTTTAAACCATGGGTATGAATTTGCTGCTCTGACAGCCTCCACTCCTCTGGTTTTAGTAATATTAAAGCAGGAAAGGATTTCCCTCAATAATAAAATCTGATAAATGACCACATAAGAACATAAATGCTAAATGATGGGATGTACTGTATATATGTATGTGTAATATATACCCTTATATTTAACATGAAAACATGTGTCTGACATGATTTTAAAGGTCCAGTGTGTAACATTTATGATTTATGATTTATGATCTATTGGCATAAATTGAATATAATATTCATTCAGGTATATTTTCATATGAATTTAGGAATAATATTTTCGTTACCTTAGAATGAGTGATCCTCTTCTACGGACTCTGCCATGTTGACATGTTTCTACAGTAGCCCGGAATGGACAGACCAAACACTGCCTCTAGATTGCTTCGCAGCCACTGTAGTTTCTCCTACACGCTTAGTTGAGCCGAGGGGTTTTCAGTTGATTGCCATCTGCCATTTAAACTGCACTATAAGTTTTCAGCCCACAGTGATATTTCACTAACAAAGACCACACTAACGAATGTATGGAATTAGAATGGTTTATTGCACATAATGCATAAATGTGAACCAATATGATGAAGGGGATGAAAGGGTATGGAAAGGAAGAGTGAGGGGTGGAGGGATTGGGGAGAAATCAGGTTTGTGAATGGATGGATGAATGGATGGACGGAGGAGTCTGGCAAAATGGTGGGAGAGAACCAAGTGGGTGATGAAACTCGTGTGGGGGAGCCGTCCGTCTCTTCTGATCTCTTCTTTAGAGCCCCAGTGGTTCCTGTATTTGAATAAGGAGGGGAGAAAAAGAAAGGCTTTGAGGGGGAGTCAAAGAGGGAGTGAACGGATAAGTTGTGCTAACGTACATTTTGAGCCGAAATGAGGTAAGTGTGAGGTGTGGTCTTTGTTCCTGAACCTAGTTATAAAACTTTTATAAACCTTTAATTTTAAACATAATGTTCAATTTACAGCTTGCTTCAGAAGAAATCTAAACATGGATGATCTTCTAAGACATGTTTTATAATACACAGAGGTAAGGGGAAAGAAACAGAAGATTAGATTTTTGTGTTCAAACTCCCAACCACTAGATAGTGATAAACAGAAATGCAGAGCCCATTGTTGTGGTTGCAGTAACAGTGCATAGCAATATATTGAATCGTAACCCCGTATCATGATACGTATCGTATATGTCATTTATTCATATGTTTCTTGTACTATTGTTTTGTACCAATGCACCATGGCAAATTCCTTGTATGTGAAAACTTACTTGGCAATAAACCTGATTCTGATGTAGCGATTAGGGGTTTAAACACTGAATAGATACACTAACACAAAACAAAATTTCGCAGTATGATATATACACTAACCAGGTTACTACAGGGCTTGTAACTGTGTTATCTGATTGAATCCATGTAAACAGACTGGGTATAGTGTATCTTGCCAACAGCAGTCAAAACTGATTCATCACTTCAAAACTTCAAAGGTTCTTTATCTCATTTATGCATCAATCCTTGCAATGTGCTTATTAAAACTTAATAAACTTAGAGTTTACAAAGTGTTTAACAAGTAAACATGAGAGAGTCCATCAATATATTTAAAAAACTTCTCACATTAAAAAAAGAAAGAGGCAGATAAACAGAGTTGGGGCTGAAGCAGTGGTATGATATTCTGTTTTAACTCTGACAGAGTGTGATATCTCCATTCAGCCAGCAGACGCCCTCTAACCTTCTCTTCTGAATCAGTAATAAGACACAGCCAGAGAGTGGTTTAATGCAGCCAAATCTGATGCAACAGTGACACAGACCACAACTCAGAGCTGCTGATCAGTCTTGGTTAAGAGAGGACGAGAGGATTACATGACACAGCGGGCAACGCAATACATGCAGCTCTCTGAAGATCATATACATGGAAGTGAGAAAGGGCTTTTAAGTGGGTGCAGCTGGGGTGAGTGATACGGGTTTAAGAGTGTGCTGTCACAGAATCTCATGAAGGCTGTGGAGGACTGTGGGTGGAAAATTGCAGCGAGTGCATTGAGGATCAAGTATCTTCAGGTTGTGGACAGTGAAATCTAAGGCAATGTGATGACATGATGATGATGAATGTACACACAGGGTTACACCACATTGTTTAAAGGCGATATGGGCCTGTAGTCCTAGCTCTTGCCATGTAGTCCATCTGAACGCGACGAAACCTGACAACTACAGCATAAAGCCACGAACATTCATTGTAGACAGGCCCAGCATCATGTCGTCTGCATGTCTTTGGACTGTGGAAGACTTCCCAGGTATGTTTATTAATTAATTAATTTCCTTATTAT